TCCTCTAAAAGGGAACCCACAGCCCTTCCCTTTCTATCTCCCTTTACCCCTCCAGGAAACCCTCCAAAAAACAAACAAAAAAACCCCTCATTTCCTCCCTCAAAAAGTAAGGAGTGCTCTGTGCTCTGCACATTGGAAGCATAGGTACGAGTCAAGCATGAAGTTTTGGAAAAGAGTAGTGAGACTGTCAAGGTGGTACCAGGGAAGAGGAGTGGCTTGGAGGCTGACGCTAGACTATAAACCTCTGAAGGACAGACATGACTGATTTGCCCAGGACTATATGTCCAGCACCTGATACACTGTAAACACCTAATAAATGTCCCTTGAATAATGAAATTAATTCCTATAAACAACAGAGAGAGCCTCTAGGAGTCAATAAAATAGATTGAGTCAGGTGAGGATATATGAGTGAAATACACGTCCAGTCCCAGAATAGAGGAACCCATGGTTCTGCCCCCACCTCTCTGGAGAAGCCTGAGACTCTCCTGATCCGGAGCATCTGGCATGAAGTGGATGGTGGAGTCACTAGTGTCGTAATAGGCAATGCCCAAGTATCCTGAAGCCCACAGGACACACAGATGGGTCTGTCCCGGGAGGAAGAAAGGAAACATATTTGAACTGCTGGGTTATGCAGGGTTATGCCATGTCTTGCTTAACTGTAATCATTTTATCAAACCCCTGAGAGAGTCATCATCATCGTGGTTCATTAAGGTGAAGCAGCAGAGCATGCGACTAGCTAGCTCTTCCCAGCCCATTTATTCTAACATCCCGAGGGGCCAACCAAAGCCCCACTCTCTGGACCCAAGAGCCTGCTCCCAATAAGGCCACACCAAAGACCTCGGCCAGCTCCTGCTCGTTCTCGTTCTCCTCCGCCTCCGCCTCCCCACGGCCTGGCACCGGGGCCGGGCTGGGAAAGCCGGCCGAGGCTGCCCCGGGCCCCGGGCTCTGCGGCGTCCTGCCTGGGATCGCTCCGACGGAGGCCATGGCCTCGGAGGTTCTGCGGGAGCAGAAAATGAAGGCAGTTCAGGAGCGAGGTTTCACCGTGAGGAGCCTGGGGTAGGGGGTGCGCAGAAACGCAAACCCACCCAGGACTTCTGGGAGGGGGCTGAGGTACAGGGCGGCGAGGGCCGAGGAGAGCTGCGGTAACATTTTGTCTTTAACATCTGTGGGACATTTAAAAAAAAATATTTTATTTATTCATTTGACAGAGCAGAGAGCCCGACGCGGGGCTCAATCTTAGGACCCTGAGATCATGACCCAAGCCGAAGGCAGAGGCCTAACCCACTGAGCCACCCAGCCCCGTCTGTGGGACACTTTGACAGGCGACTTCTCAGATACGTCACTAAAGTCCAGACTATGCGAAACTTCACTCGCCCCACCCCCATTTCGGTCACGCGGAGGTTGTAGTTTGGCTGGAGGGCCCTGTGGGAGGGGGGTATGTATCTCTCCTCTCTCCGCCATTACCAGTTATACTCCCACGATCGCAGCCTTAACCTCCTGAGTTTCCCACCCCAGCCCTGTGCAACTCGCGGCGTTTTCCCGCGTTTTCCGTCACTTGGGTTGCTACGTGCCCGAAACCGCGTCCCTAGCAGCCCTGCGCCAGCAGGAGAGTCTTACTGGCGTGAGGATTAGATGCGCGCGCACACGCCCCGCCCTTCGTAGCGGCTATTGGTCGGAGAAATCCGGATCCTGCCTGGAGATGCAACGGAGCGCGAGAGATGAGAGAATGGCAGTGGTTGGGGCGGCTGGACACTGATTGGCCTATTCGCATATGGGGCGGTGCCAGAACGTTCAAACTTCCCGCCCGTGGGGTTGCTTGGCATTGGAGCCTCTGGCCTTCCCGGTTTCTAGGCTTTGATTGACGCGAAGTAGAGCCTGTGAGAAAGTCGGAAGGGGAGCTCGAGTCAGAACCCGGAGAACTGGTCTAGGGGTGTTGAGGGGGGAGCTGGCTAAAGGGGCAGACGCGAGTTGCATTATTTTCTGGAAAGTGGAGATAAGCAACATTAATTAAGCCTATGCCAACAACTCTAAATTAATATTTGTACCCACGAGGGACACCTGGGCGGCTCAGTTGGTTAAGCGTTTGCCCGCGGCTCGTCAGGATTCCAGGGTACTGGGATTGAGTCCTCCCCGCCGTGGCTCAGCAGGAAGCCTGCTTCTCCCTCTTCTGCCTGCTGCTACCCCTGGCTTGTGCTCTCTCTCTCTCTGACAAATAAATAAAATCTTAAAAAAATAAATTTGTACCAAGTTCATATTTGTGAAAGCTTAGGACAGTTCATGGAAAACTAGTAAGAGCTACTAATATATCAAATAAGCAGAAATAAGTGAGACTCCTATTTTAGTTCTCCTTTGCCTATTTCCTTGATGCAGGGTATGACTCAGGAGGGCAATACTGTGCCCGACTTAAATTTTGGTCTCCCCAGAAGAGCGTAGAAGTGTTCAAATTACACAAAATTCCGGTGGAGAATAGACCTGAGAACACCTACACCCCCCACTGAGACATGTCTATACCCCTCTGCAGGTGCACACACCCACACCCCTAAAGACAGAGGGGTGTCATTCACTCACCCAGCAACTATTTAGTGCCTACTCTGGACCAGGTGGCAGACTCAAAGTACTGAACATTAATTACGGGCTTCATGAAGCTTACCTTCTAGTGTGTGTGAGAAGAGAAGCAAGGAGATTATGAGGGGGACAGAAATAAATATATAATTTTAAAAATAGATCCCTTGGGATGCCTGGGTCCCTCAGTCAGTTAAGAGTCTGCTTTCAGCTCAGGTCATGATCTCAGGATCCTGGGACCAAGCCCCACATCAGGTTCCTTGCTCAGCGGGGAGCCTGCTTTCCCCTCAGCCTGCTGCTCCCCCGCTTGTGCCCTCTCTCTCTGACAAATAAATAAATATGATCTTTTTGTAAAAAAAAATTAAGTTAATGAAAAATAAAACAAAATAATATCCCTTAAAATGCATCCTCCTCTCCAGCTTTGTCCTAGGTACCCTGAGATGGGGAGATCCCATCCAGGAGGTGAGAGAAAATGGTGGGTTAACCCACTTTTACCACGAAAGGACTGGAAAATCCCCTCCATCAAGGAAGGTAGGGGAGGGAGTTAAGGACTAGGTTAATGGTTACCCCTGGCAAATTGTTGAGCAATGGAACTATGGAAACCTGGAAGAGACGTCACAACTCTAAGGCGTGTCAGGGAGGGACACACCTTCCAATCTGGGGTGAAAAGAGATTAGAGACTGGTTTACCAAGCCAGGGAAGGCGAGGGAGTGAAATAAAAAGCCACCCTTTGAAGGAAAGGTTAGATACTGAGATAGGAGAAAAGCAGGGGTAAGGAGGTGAGAGCAGAGGGAAACGTCTCTGATGGAGGATTTGGGGGCGCAGCCCAGGGGGCATTGCTGGATAGTACCAGGAGAGGGCAGCATTACCTGTCATCTGGGAAATGAAGGAGAAATACCTTGTGGGTAGCCATGCCAGCCACCCAAAGTCAATATTGATGATCAAACCAGCTCTAGCCATAAAGCCGTAGGACAGAAAGAGGCAGGAAAGAAGCTGCCAAAACCTGTTTGGGCTCAGGTCTGGCGCCATTTGCCTGAGGCATCTCCCACAAGGGAGATCTTTGTGGGGCAGATTCTCTGATAGACATTGATGGGTTGGAACAGAAGAGGGTCCTGAGTAGGGGTGTTTTGACCTCCTTTCCTCATGTGGAAGGGATCTGTGTGCAGAATCTGAGGATCACCCATGGAGGAGACCCTCCCCCTCAACACACACATTCATGAAATCATCCTACAACCTTACAGGATCTTACAATTCAAGGGAACAAACACAATATATCTTCTCACTGGGGAGGAGAGAGATAGGCCTTCCCCCAGGGAGGCGAAAACCCACAGAAGAGGAAGCAGGAGAGGAAACCACTAACTGCTGGTTTCCAGCAGCACAACTCTCACTCTACCCCAGTCCTCCTCGAAGTCTCCTTTTCTTTCAGTGTCAAGTCCTGTTTTGCTCCTCTACGTCCTTACATTTCCACTGTGTTTTTCTGTAACTGTAGGTCTGTTAGACAACAGGTGGTGAGAAAGAAAGAGAAGGTATGGTAGGGTAGGAGAGAGATTCGAGATATGGAGGCCGGAATGTTTCCAGTTTGGAGGACATATTTTTAAGCCGTTTTTCAGCAGCTCATAAAGAATTTGACAGAACCTCCAAAAATCAAGTTACTCTTCCTCTACCTCCTTACTTATTTGTGTCCCCAAGGACTCCACTTACATTATGCCATCTGATCTTTGCTTAAGACCAGCTACCATCCCCTCCAGGATCAGTGCAACTCTATTCTAGGGCCAGAATAACCCCACTCTCCACCCGCCCCCATTCTCTCATCTTCAACATATCAGTGAGAAAAGGGCAAGGGGCACAGGAAGGGGCCCCCACAATGGGGGCAGAAGTGGAAGCATTTAAGCTGACTAGGCTACTGAGGAGGAGCTGACCTCCCCCAGAGATGAGTCCCTTTGGCTCAGCTTCTTGTTTCCCTAGCAGGAGGCTTGGATGTCTCCCCTCCTATCACCTCCCCTACCTTTCACCACTCTCTTCCCCCAATCTCAGTGTCTACTTCCAAGTTGGTCCTGCTGGAGTCTGGAAGAAATGTGGGAAAAGGAATAAACGACCATCTTCACATTCTAAAGTTCCCCCCCGGGACCTCATGGGCTTGACCAAACTGTTGGGGTCGTTTCTTGTGTGAGGGTGGAGTGGGAGTGTCCTCTGATTGATACAGCAGGGAAACTGAGGCAGAAAAAAAAATCCTGTGTTCAAAGAGACGGGTGGAGAAACAAGGAGGTTCCCAGGATTCCCTCCTCCTTAAAACCCCCATCCCTTATCCTCTAGGAGACCTGAGGCTCCCCATCCGGACCCACTGCCTAGATCGTCGAGTCCCGCCCCCTCCTGTCCCCTCCCCAGGTTCAGGGCGGGGCCGGTCGGTGAGTCAGCTGCTCCCTGATCTAGCCCGGGAGGGGATAGAGCTGGAGGGGCGGGGTGTGGGGTACGCTGGGCTGGTGGGGAAGCCGGGTCTTGTGTGAGCGGGTCTCTTCGGGCTTGTGTGGCGCAGAAGGGACAGCCCTAAGTCTGGGGGAGAGAATCCCTGCCCGTGAGACCCGCCTTCCCCGGCCCGAGCCCCTCCCAGTTCCCCCAGCGACAGCCGCTTCCTGGTCCCCGTCGCAACCATGGCTGAAGAACAACCCCAGGTTGAATTGTTCGTGAAGGTAGGAACACCTTCTCACTCCTAGGCCGGCCTCCCCATTCTTGGAAGGCAACTCTCACCTTGACCCAACTCCAGTCTTGACTCCCCAATCCCTTCTCTCCTTGACCCCCACCCAACCCCACGTGCAGTCTTTAGTGTGCGCGCGTTGTTGGGGGTGGCCTCGGGAGGGGAAGACCGTTGTTGTGAGTGCGGGTAATGAGAATTCTGTGCTCGACCCTGAAAAGTTTGTGGAAGTGCAAGTTTCAGCAGCCTAAAGGGCCGGAAGGTAGATAAGAGATCCCAGGAGTTGAGACTATTAACGGGGGTTGGGGGCGGGGGACAAGCTGATGGAAAGAAGGGAGAGAAGGGGGCAGTGGGACTCAACAGGGTTTGGGAGGTTCAGAGGGAAACATCAGGACATGTGGTCGTAAGAGAAGACCAGAGTGAGGGGTGTCTTTGGAGAGACTTGAAGGAGTGAGTGAGTTAGTGAGAGAGAGTGCGTGTGTGTGTGTGTGTGTGTGTGTGTGTGTGTGTGTGTGTGTGTGGCAGGGCAGGTTTCAAGGAAGAGGGTGTGGCGAGGAGGGCTGAAAGGAGATGCCCGGCGGAGGACTGGTGGGGTGGAAGGAGATGGAGAATGGCAGTGCAACCCGAGAGAGGGTGGGCCCTGAAGGTTCCCCGGGACTTGGAGAAGCGAGAGAAAGGGAGGTGACCATATGGGAGTTTAGCTGGGGCTACCAGGGGAATAGGTGGGGAGAGGGATCAGAAGAAGGAAGAGAACTGGGTTAGGGTGTTTACGGTTTGGGGGTTTTAGAAACAGGAGAAAGAGAGTCTCCCAGCTCTGTCCTCTCTCAGTGGGTGTGGATGAGGAACGGTGGTCCTTTGGCCTTTGGAGATGAAAGCGCAGACAGACTAGAGGACTTCACTCTCTCTGCTCTGCTCCCCTCCCCACTGCAGGGGCATTCTTACCCAATCCCGGACCTCATCTCTGCACCTCCCTCTCCGTCTGTGCCTCCTTGTTTGCACATTCTCCCCACCCTTCACTTTCCTGCCGCCTTTCTCTCCACTTCCCCCCTTTGTTCGTCCTTCTTTGTGCGTTCCTGCTGCTTTTTCCCTCCTTGCTGCTTGGGGCTTCTGGGGAAGCCATTCCTTCTCCCTGTGCCCAGCCGTGGCTGGGTCCACCCCCCTTAGGTGTGGTCCCCACCTCATTCACACTCGCCTCAAGGGCTATTTTTATTCGTGGGTGAGGCTGCCCTACAGAGTCTGGCCTTGGGTCCAGTGTGAGGAGAGTCATCTGGAGCCGGGGCCATGTGTTGGGATACCCCGCAAGTAGTGTGTGGGGAAGAGGAAGGTGGCCCTCCGCTGCCCAGGCCTCAGCCTCACAGGTCCCTGCCCCCACTCCTTGCCAGGAAGGAAGCCGCTGAGGCAGAGACAGTGTGAGATGAATCACTCTCAGCCCAGGGGGAGGTCCCTTGGGGGATGAGGTCACCACTTGCCAATTAGAGGGCAGCCCCCCTCTGCAAAGCCCTCTACATCTTTAGAGGCCCTGGGCCCCTTGACTCCCCACCCAGCTGCCAGAAGGAGGGTGGAGGTATAGAGAACCAGAACTCTGGCTTCCAAACCCCATGGTACCTTGCCCATTCTCAGGCTCTACTCCATTCAGGAATCCAGGAATCCAGGCCTCTAGCCTACAACCCTGGCCTCACCAAAGTCCCTCTCTAGGGATTTGGGAGAGTTAAATACGCTTTTGTATGTAAAGTGCTTAGGATAGCAGGTAACACTGCATTACTGTTTGTCTTCCCTCTCTAGGGTCCAGATCCTCCCGAGTTCTCCCAAACGCAATCCCTCTGCTTACCTCCCAGCTGTCCTGAACTCTGTGGGGAACCAGAAGCTGACCTTTGCAGAAAACTTCCCCGCTAATCTGCCCTTAGGTTTACTCCACCTCCAGAGTGGAGAGCCCATGTCTGGGGAGAGCTGTTAGCCCTGAGACTGTGCGTCATGATTAGGCAGAAAACGGTGTGATCTGGGAGGGGGGGTGGGCAGAGAATGGCCTGTGGTAGGTGGAGTATACCAGGCCTAACCTTGGCGTGGGGGTTACTTTTCAGGCTGGCAGTGATGGGGCCAAGATTGGGAACTGCCCCTTCTCCCAGAGACTGTTCATGGTGCTCTGGCTCAAGGGAGTCACCTTCAACGTCACCACTGTTGACACCAAGAGGTGGGCCAATTTCTGTTCCTCTAACACCCTGTTTGCATGCTCGCTCACCCATCCTAGTCCTTTCATCCTGTGGCTTTCCCCCTGCCCCCGCCCTCCACCCAGAGCTCCTTTTTCTTTCCACATGCTTCATCTCCCCTTTCTGATTCTCCCGACCCCATTTTCCTGTCCTGATGCCTGGCCTGTTCTCAGGAGGACGGAGACAGTGCAGAAGCTGTGTCCAGGAGGGCAGCTCCCATTCCTGCTGTACGGCACAGAAGTGCACACAGACACCAACAAGATTGAAGAGTTCCTAGAGGCAGTGCTTTGCCCTCCCAGGTACAGGGACACTTGGAAAGGAAGGGTTGGGTAGCTGGGAGATTCTAGGGGAGAGGGAGGTGGAAGAAATGGAAAACCAAAATGGTGGGGGGCTGGAGCATGGGAGCTAAGGCTCCTCCCCGGAAGATAGCGTCTCCTGTTTCTCCTACTGGCTTTCAGGTACCCCAAGCTGGCAGCTCTGAACCCTGAGTCCAACACGGCGGGGCTGGACATATTTGCCAAATTCTCTGCTTACATCAAGAATTCAAACCCAGCACTCAATGATAGTGAGTCTCAAGGGTTGGAGGCAGGGTGCTAGGAAGAATGGAGAAGATCCAGGGATTGGGAGGCATTAGGGGCACCTGGAAATTCCGATATTGGGGAGATGGAGCAGATGTTGGCAAACCCTCACTGCCTCCCACCCCAGCCCCCTTATTTTTGTTTAAACTCAATATTTCCTTGCATTTTCATTGCCTTTGACTTTAAGTTTCTCTTTGTCACCTAGCCTCTCGTGTCCCACTGTGTTAGTTGGGTTGGCTGCTGGCCTGTTTCGTGGCAGAAGAGGGTTGTGCTTAAAAAACAGTGACTCTTTGGGCACCTGGGTGGCTCAGTTGGTTGGGTGTCTGCCTTTAGCTCAGGTCACTGTCTTGGGGTCATGGGATCCCTGCTTGGTGGGGAGACTGCTTCTCCTTTTCCCTCCGGCTCGTGCTCTTTTTCTCAAATAAATAAATCTTTAAAAAAGGGGGGTGGGGCGCCTGGGTGGCTCAGTGGGTTAAAGCCTCTGCCTTCAGCTCAGGTCATGATCCCAGAGTCCTGGAATCTGCCCCACATCCCATCTGGCTCCCTGCTCAGCAGGAGTCTGTCCCTCTCTCTCCCTCTCCCCGGGCTTGTGCTCTCTCTCTGTCAAATAAATAAAATCTTAAAAACAACAGCAACAACGACGACTCTAGATCCAGACAGCCTACACCTTCCCTAGCTAGATTAAACCCTACTAGCTGGGTGAATTTGGGCAGTTCATTTAATTTCTCTGTAAATCCATTTCCAGATCCATAAAATGAGGCTAACAGTGCCTGTTTCATGGGTTGATGTGAGAATTAAGAGTTTTTGTGTGTAAAGTGCTTAAAATAACACATGGAAAATGAACTATATTCGTGTCAGATACTATTATTTGGACTGGCTCCACTCCCCAGGCCCTCCTGGACTATGTTGCTCTCCTGATGTTCTTACCAATTCCCCTTTCTTGCACAGATCTGGAGAAGGGGCTCCTGAAAGCCCTGAAAGTTTTAGACAATTACTTGACATCCCCCCTCCCGGAAGAAGTGGATGAGACCAGTGCTGAGGATGAGGGCATCTCTCAGAGGAAGTTTCTGGATGGCAATGAGCTCACTCTTGCTGACTGCAACCTGTTGCCAAAGCTCCACATAGTACAGGTGGGTGGTCATTGTATGAGCATAGGGTGGCCTCTGGGATGGCTCTTGAAGAAGCTCCCACACAGGTTCCCTATGACAATGACTCCAAAGGTGATTTCTTTCTTAGGATGGTTTCCATGGATTGCCACCAATAGCAGACACACCCCATTCCTTCTCACCAGTCATTGCTTCAAGGCTGTTGCTTTAGAGAATTAACATTCGGTGATACAGGCTGTGGGTGCAGACTGGCCGGGAGTAACATATCCCAATGTTGTTGTCAAGAGTCCTCTTCCTGTCTCTATCACTGCCAAATCCCCACATCACACAAAGCAGGCTTTTCCTAAAATCAGAGCTTTAACTCTTTTTATAGCATTGGTCTCCACTCCGTCTTGTGATGAAAGATGAAAACTGCTGGTTCCCATGTTTTTGACTCAGCCTCAAAGCTATGGTTTAGTTTGTGAAACATGGGCCTAATGTCAGTCTGCACAGACCTCTGTATTGAACATCTGTGTACTAAGCACTGAAAGACAATAAAGATGGATGACTGACGATTGGTCCTTGCCCTCAAAGGATTTGAAATCTAGCCAGGAAGATAGAACAGTCACATGAAAGTTAAGTAACAAAACATGATTAAAAGCCAAATGAAAAATAGGGACAAAAGTCACTGTGGAAATTCAAGTGGAGAATTTTCTGATGTGTGAATTACATCTCAGTAAAATCAAGAAGAGAGCAATGGCACCATGGAACGGGGTGATCTGAAAAGGAGCTGGTTAAAAATGGCCAGGATTTCAGTGAGTGGAGAGGAAGGGTGAAGACAGAAGATCGTGAGTTAAGAAAGCCAGTTGGATGATTCATATAGGAGAGAAGAATCACAGGAAGAGAAGCCAGATAGCAGGGGTTCTTGAATGCCTGGTCAGGAAGGCTAGATTTCATCCTGGAAGTCTTGGGAGAAGGGAAAGACCCAAGAGCCTAGCCGCCAGGGCTGCTCCCCTGAGGCTGACATGTTGATCCCATTGATCCCTCTCCTCTCCCCACCCCCAGGTGGTATGTAAGAAATACAGGGGATTCTCCATCCCAGAGGTGTTCCGAGGAGTCCATCGGTACCTGCGCAATGCCTATGCTCGGGAAGAGTTTGCCTCCACCTGTCCAGATGATGAGGAGATCGAGCTGGCTTACGAGCAAGTGGCCAAGGCCCTCAAATAAATGCTTTCTGAGGCTCTCTCCCTCTGCACAAAGGCAGCAGCTGGTTTCCACGTGGCTATCCAAGGGACACACTCCAAAACAGCCAGTGGGCAGAGAATCCTGGAACACTTGTGCAGGGCTGGCTGGGGGGCTGAGGGGAAAGATGGGGAATCTAGGTAAGATTTTTATTGTGGGGTGGTGCGGGTAGGACAATGTATTTCAGTAATAAAATACAGAATGAAAATACAGTGTCGTTTTACACAAAGGGGCCTTGAGTGTGGCTAACACGGGAATGAGAGGTGGGTCAGTGACCTTGAGCTCAAGGCAGAAGCGAGGAAATTAGGAGAGGGGTATTGGTGGTCAGGCTTCCATTCCTCGTGCCGGTCCACCGTAACGCTGTCTTGTGGTCCATGTCGCGTTTGCAGCCCAGCCGCCGGGGCCAGCCAGATCTGGGTGGGCCTGGGCAACACTCACGGGGCGGGGCCAAGTTCTGAGGAGGGGAGCGAAGTCCCCCTGGAGTGGGCGCGGCGTAGCAGGGCGGAATGGGCGTGGTCTCTGGGAGCCCCGCCCCGTCCCGCTTAGACAATGCCCCGGAGCCGCCAGACCGTCGCGCCCCCGCCCCACCGTAGTTCTTGAGCTCGCCTACCCAGGGACCCCTCAAAAGCAAAGAGCTCCAGTCCCCGAGGCTTGAAGACTAGGACTCCCTTCTCCAACTCTGTCCTCAGGGGGGTGGGGCCCCAGCCAAGATCACAGAACGCAGGAGTCGGGGTGGCCACTGGAGGTAAGTCTAGGGGTTGGAGATGTCCTCTGGACCGTGCGCGGGCTGAAGCTTGAGGATGCCGGGTCCGTGCCTGCAACGGACAGAGTGCAGGAGGCCGAAATTTGGGTGCGGAGCTGAGCGGGGTAGACTTTGGGGAAGATGGACCAGGAGACGGGGTCCTGGAGCCGGGAGTGGCAGCCGCTCTCTGGGACCACGCCCCCGGTTTCCCCGCCCCTTGGATTTCGTTTTAGACCTCTCCCAGGCCTTGGGGACTCGGTCTGGTTTATACTGGGTCGCGCTAGGGGCAGCGGGACCGGCCCGGGTGGAGGGAGATTTAACTCCTTAGATTCTAATTTCTCCCTCGTTACCCCTCTTCTCTTTTCTCGTTTGGGCATTCAGGACTTCCATCTTCCAGGCCTTGACTCTCTCCCCAGCTGCCTCCTCCTGTCCCATAACCCTTTTGGGTCCCTCGCCGCACTTCGGGTCCCTATGGCCGCGAGCAGCTGAGGGTTAAGGGGGCGGGACCGTTGCATTTTTGGGGAGTGAGCGCATCCTAGCGGCTGCCAAGAGGGGCGCCTAGCAGGGACCTCGCAAAGCCCCCTAACTGGGGCAACAGGTGTTGTGAAAATTAGGGGTCCGGGTCTTGTTCCTCGGACTCCTTACAAAGAAGCAGACCAGACCCAGAAGGGTGCGGGGTGGAATGGGGTCGGCAGGAGAGGAAGGTCTGGAGCGGGTGGGGCGAAGTGGGAGGGGCGCCCGGAGATGGCAGAAGGAAGACCCGGGCGCTCTTAACCACCCCCCTACGCCCTTCTGTGCCTGTCTCTTTCTCTGCCAACCCCACTCCCCTTTTCTCTTATCCCAGACAGGTGAAGTAAAAAGAGAAAACTAAGAAATCAGCGCGGCCGGAGGGGGAGACTGTGTGGATGGGATGGGGACGCCAGGAGAGGGGCTGGGCCGCTGCTCCCATGCCCTGATCCGGGGGGTCCCGAAGAGCCTGGCTTCGGGGGAGGGTGCGGGGGCTGGCCTCCCGGCTCTGGACCTGGCTAAAGCTCAGAGGGAGCACGGGGTATTGGGGGGTAAACTGAGGCAGCGGTTGGGGCTGCAGCTGCTAGAACTGCCTCCTGAAGAGTCGCTGCCGCTGGGACCGCTCCTCGGTGACACCGCCGTGATCCAAGGGGACACGGCCCTAATTACGCGTCCCTGGAGCCCCTCCCGCAGGCCGGAGGTGAGCGCCGCGGCGCGGTTTGGGGGGTAAGGGGAAAGGAGTAGCTGGACGTGCGGGGCTTTAGGAGTTATGGTTGGGAATGTCTCTGCCCCGCGCCCTCTTTCCTGCCCTTAGGTCGATGGAGTCCGCAAAGCCCTTCAGGACCTTGGGCTCCGGATTGTGGAGATGGGGGACGAGAACGCGACGTTGGATGGCACTGATGTTCTCTTTACGGGTGAGGCTGAGGTGCCTGCATCCCTGGGCTTTGCATTGGGAAGCAGAGATGGGGCGACTAGGCCATTTTGGGCCTTGTTTCCAACTCACTCTGGCTCTCAAACCTCCGCGGCCTCCCTGGGCTCAGGCCGGGAGTTTTTCGTAGGCCTCTCCAAGTGGACCAATCACCGAGGAGCTGAGATCGTGGCAGACACGTTCCGAGTGAGGAGCGGGACCAGCTTCTTGCTGGGGAAGCGGGGAGCGGATTGGGTGGGAGGGGCGCACGGAGGGGGCGCGGAGTAGAAAGGAGCCCAGAGCAACCTGTGTTTGAGGGAATCCCCCATCCCTCCCGCGTCCCTGAATAATTTCTTTTGCTGCCCCTAGGACTTCGCTGTCTCCACAGTGCCGGTCTCGAGCTCCTCCCACCTGCGCGGCCTTTGCGGCATGGGGGGCCCCCGCACGGTCGTGGCTGGTAGCAGCGAGGCTGCCCAAAAGGCTGTCAGGGTGAGGAGGGTGGGGCCAACAAAAGTGGGAGTGGCTCTTGGCCCGTAAGGCTGAAAGCAGGGAGGTTCAGAGACTTAATTCCAACCCCTGCCCTCATGGAACTGTCCATCTGGTATGAAAACACGTCAGAAAGCAAGAAGTTACTATGGCAGGACAGGAAACACAGTCGATTAACATCGTCTTCCCGAGTTTCAAAAAACTTCTCAAAGGTGGCATCTAAGCAATGAGGAAGGATGGATGACATGGACTGGTGGGGGCTGGAGAAGGGGAGAAGAGGGCTGCAGGTAGTAAGAACTGCATGTGGGTCTGAGGTGGAACTTAACAAAAGTCACTAAAATGCTTAGAACAGTGCCTGACACATACTAAGGGCAAGTGCTTGCTATCATTATCATGCAACAAATGTAACTGTGTTCCCAGCCCTTAGTGGTGGTAGGGCCACCAGACTCAGTTGTGGGGAGGCTCGGAGACTTGACCACTTCCTCTTTTTCCCTTCCTCAGGCGATGGCAGTGTTGACAGACCACCCCTATGCGTCCCTGACTCTCCCAGATGATGCAGCTGCTGACTGTCTCTTTTTGCGACCTGGGCTGCCTGGTGTGCCCCCTTTTCTCCTGCACCGTGGAGGCGGGGACCTGCCCAATAGCCAGGAGGTGAGAGGAGGCAAGAGCTCCACTACTAACAACAACCAGAGGAAGGAGTCTCGAGCCTTCCTAGTGGGACAAAGGAGGGGTACCTTCTCTAGAAGCATGGCCGGCTCCAAGAAGGGCCTGGCTGTGGCCTCAGAGTCTTACTCCCCTCTCCCATTTCGTGTTCTTCCTGCAGGCATTGCAGAAGCTCTCTGATGTCACCCTGGTACCTGTGTCCTGCTCAGAACTGGAGAAGGCAGGCGCCGGGCTCAGCTCCCTCTGCCTGGTACTCAGCACGCGTCCCCACAGCTGAGCTCCTGGCCTTAGGGTTCTGGCTGGCCAATGTTTGGGCAGCATAGGGAGTAGAAGTGGAAGAAGGCTTAGATAGAGGACGGTGAATAGGTATAGTAGTGGGGAGAGGGCCCCAAGATGGGGGGGGAGGGCTTAGTGTGGGAAAAATGATAGAGTCCACTGGGTGAGTCCTCTTCCACAGAACTAATAAAACAGAACTGACCTTTTAGACTGGGCTGTGGCTGGTGTCTTAACTGGGATAGGGGCAGGGCTGAAATCTGAGGTTGAGGTTAGTCTTTCATTCATCAAACCCTCATTAGGCACTTACTGAGTCATTGCCCAGCCCTATTATAGGTGTTTGGGTGCAAGATGGACAGGATAGAATTTCTATTGTGGGGAGCATATGTGACGTAGAGAAGAAAGAGTAGGGTGGATCACTCATTATCTAAATGTCAGATGATTCAGAGAGTGGTAGATTACCAACCCACCCCTAGTTGATAGAAAGGAAGAAGTAACGCTTCCAGGGACATTCATTTTCATTCACTCATTTACTGAGGCTTAGCAGTAATATAAAAAGGGTCAGTCTTCTGAGAGCAGGGAACTCACAGTACATTGAAACTGAAATACAGGTTGTGATGGAACAATTTACAGGGTGTGATTGCTAAGAGATAAATAAGGAGACTGCCTACAGCATCAAAATCAAAATGTATGCAGGGGTAGGCAAAGAGGGTCAGGAATGGCTTCCCAGAAATGGCTACATTTCAGCTGAGTCTTGGGGATGAAGAATTATTAGGCAGGAAGGTAGTGGGGAGAAGGAAAAAAGGGTGATATGGAAAGAAGGACTTGCCTGGCACAAAAATGTATTTGGAGGCTGGGGAGAATCTCTCCCAGGCTGGCAGGCTGTGCACATGTGGAGTGCCAGAGACAAGTCTGGAAGGTAGGCAGAGTGCTGCCAGCACCTTGTACCCAAAGCCAAGGCCCATGGGTCCAAGAAAAGGTCCTGGAAAGACATCCTGCAACTCTGGAATACAGGTTGTGAGGAGGAGGTTTGCATTTGGGGAGGACCCCTCTGGCTTCAGGGAGGAGGGCAGGGGCAAGAGGATGAGGTGGGGCTATGAGTCAACCAGGGAGGAAATGAGGAGAGTATATTCAGGTGGCAGCCCTGGGCATGAAGAAGGGTATGGATTTCACAGTGACATTAAAATAGAAAGACAGGACTTGGTTCGTTGTGTGGGAGTGAGCAGAACGAGGTCTGCATGACTCCCAGTTTCTGGCTTAGGCAACTGGTTGATCAAGAGAGACTACAGAGGAGGATGAAGTGAGTGACAGTGAGTTGGGTTTGGGATATGCTGTGTGAAGAATGTCTATGGCTGACCAGGCAGGGCTGTCCCAGGGATAGATGGGAAATCTCATTACTTGAGATCTGAGCTGGAGAGAGTTCTGAGTGTTGTTTGCAGAGGTGAGGCTTGAGGACTGGCTGTGAATGCCAGATTCCCAGAAGAGAGGGAAGTCAGATAAAGGGACGAACCTAGAATGGTGGGGAATACCATGGGAATAGGGAGGAGGGCAGAGGAGTCCAAAGGGAAGATGCCAGCATTAAAGAAGGAAGTAACCAAAGACCAACTAAAAACTCTACTGGCGTGGCCATTAGGACATCACTGGCAACCTCATGGAGAGATGAGGAGCAGTGTGAGTGGAGTCAAGGAGAAGAAAAAGTGTAGGCCCCTGGTTCAAAGAGCTGGACTGTGCAGGGGAGGGAAGAGACAGGACAACTATCTAGGACTTGTTGATGTCTTAAGATAGGGAGACAGGGCTTGATCAGGTTTAGAGAGGGCACCAGTGGTGAAGAAGATGTGAAAGTTATAGGAGAGATGGGGTAACTGAAGGAGCAAGATCAGTGGCAGAGCAGAGAACCCAGGGCTCCTGACTCCCATACTAGTGCTCATTTCTGTCCCGTGGTGCATCCATTGCCAGGTGAGGGGCCGAGAAGGAGAGGGGAGCTGTGGAGAGCTGGGAACCTTCAGCTTGTGAGGTTTGAAATAAGGGCTTCCCTTCAAACTACAACCGCATAGATGGTCGAGGCATCAGCTGGGACCATGGGGGACAACCGGAGGGGCCTTCTGAGGGCCAGATGATCCAGGTCTGCGTAGAGCAGGCTCTGAAAGGTGAGGAGGAAGGCAGGAGAGTCTCAGAAGTCTGACTCGCTGGGGGATTCAGGTCTCTCTCTTTCTCAGTCCACTCTTCTCAGGGATTGGGTCCAACCCCCTTCCAATCGCCAGGCCCTTACCGCCTCCTGGTCCAGGTCCCCTGCAGTCTTGGGCTCCTCCTCCTTTACTGGCCTCTGGGGCTTGACTTTCGCGAGTGGATCTATATGAGGGGGAGTGGTGAACAGAGCTGAAAAATGGAGAGAAAGGGACCAACATTCTGCTTCCAGCAAGGGCTCAGACTCAGGAATTGAGAGGCGGGAAGTATGGGAGCAGTAGAAAAATGGGGTGGTTAGTCTCACCAAATCTGGGGAGTGGTCGAGGCGGGTGCGGGGGTGATCGTCTGTAACGGATGTATAAGTCTTTGAGAGCCACCAGTTTTATCTCGTCTTCCTCGGGGCCAACAGCAACCCAGCAACTCAAAGGCTCAGACCCGCAACACAATTTAGGCTCCACCCCCACAGATAGTTCCGCCCACGCTCTGATCCTGCTCCGGCTCTAGCGTCGCCTCCTTAGCCAGGGCTCCGCCTACCAGCCTGTGGCCTCGGCCCAAGGGGTGACCTCCCTCCTCCGCCCCCTTCCTCTATAAACCACACGCCGGAGCTCTAGGTCTAGCTTCTGTCTGCGAAGGTTCTGGTCCTACTCCGCCCGCCTCCGGTCCCGACCCATGTAACCAGGCCCCGCCCATTGTACTCACCTGCGCCACCACCAGACCACGCCCAACGCCCCGACTCCCAGCATCAGCCCAGCGCCCAGCAGGGGGATCAGGAGCTGGGGATTCACGGACCCTGGGTGAATGGAGGACAGGGTGGTGACGGATACTAAGGTCAGGGGTGCGAGGACAGAGAACTAGATCTCCCGTGCAGGAAACCTCCCGCTAAGGCCTCTCTCCCTCCCAAGGGTGTGTGAGTGAAGTCCCAGGCGCAAAGGCCTGGACCTACCATGGGTAGACCCCGGTGCCCTGCAATCAGCCCCGTCCCCTAGCACGTGAAGCACTGTACGGCTTTCTTCTTCGTGGCGGCCCCTGCAGAAAAAGGTGCCTGAGTCCCCTGCGCTCAGGAGCAGCTCCAGCCGCCGGATACTGGGGTCCAGGGCACGTAGGCGACCAGCAAAGGGCTGGACTGGAGACACAGTAGGAGTTCCGCTCGAGGAGGCCCACAGGATTGGGCGGCGTCCTTTGGACAGGCCCTTGCAGGCAGGGAAGCTAGGCGCCCAGGCCCAGCGGATGGGATGCGAGACCCCTACGCAGGAGAAATTCACCCGGTCTCCGGGACGGCCGTCCAGTGAAGCTGGGGTTGGAGGGGACAGGGGTTAGGGCAAGTCCACAGGGCTAGACTAACCCCACTCCCGAACCCCATTCCCGTCTCCTCTCTCTCCCCTCTCTTCTGCGCTCCCACCAGCCTGGATCATCCCCCACACATCAACCCTCCCCTCCCCAGCATCCCCCGCCCTTCAGTCTTTCCTCGCGCCCACTCCCAACTTTCCTGGGGGAAGATGGCTTACCCCCGGGGTCTCCCTGGGCCCTTGACAGCAGCAGCGGCAGTAGCTGCAGAACCAGAGCCATGGCTGGGATGTATGTGGTGGAGATAGGAGGCAAGTGTATCAGCGGAGGAGAGACCAGAGGGAAACTCGGGAAGAGGAGGTTGGGGGGGGCACGGGTTGGGGGCTCTGATAAGAGCGGGGCGGGGCTACCAGCCGCCGGATCCCTCTGGGAGTCCTCGCTGGCTCGCTTTCAGCCCTCAGACAATACTCAGTTGAAAGTGGTGCTCTGCTGGTTATGGAAGCACTTTCCTGTACTTTAACTCCCGCGGGGTAGCGGTGGCCCGGAGCATCCTGGCTGTCTGAGTTCAAATCCTGCCTTAGCCATCTACTAGCTGAGTGATGTGGGAGAATCGTTCAACTTCTCTGGGCCTGTTCATTCATCTGTAAAACAGGGATAAAAAGCACCTACCTGGGGCGCCTGGGTGGCTCAGTCGTTAAGCGTCTGCATTTGGCTCGGGCTGTGATCCGGGGGTCCTGGGATCTAGTCCCACTTTGGGCTCTCCGCTCCGAGGAAAGCCTGCTTCTCCCTCTCCCACGCCCCCTGTTTGTGTTCCCTCTCATGCTGTGTCTCTGTCAAATAAATAAATAAAATCCTAAAAAAAAAAAAAGCACCTACCTTCTAGAGTATTGAGAAATTTAAAAAAGTAATACACCTACAATGCCTAGAACAATGCTTGACACATAGGAGCACTGGGTGCTCATCATTATTGTTACTACTGCAACTTCTTATTCTAGCTTCTCCTTCACCTCTCTGTGCCCACGCTGTCCCTCCTGGCCAATGGTGCCCCACCCAAACTGGCAGGTTTTGGTCTGGGAGACACTTTGGAACAGGCCACATGCCCCACACCCTGGACTTCATCGGCCTTCGCCCAGGCCAGGCCAAGCCCTGGTTTAGCCAGGGCAGGTTCCCAGAACCTTCTGAGGGCCTAAGGCAGCACCTCAGCAGGCAGCCCCAGCCTAGGTCCTTGCTGTTGTGACATCACAGAGGCCCTTGGTGACATCACGAATCTTTCATCTTTCATCCTGAGGCTGAGCAGGGGTTGGGAAGACCATGTCAAGGCTGAATCCAGATGAAGTTAGCCCCTTCTGTCCTCAGTTTCTGCTCACGCGCCCCTACCAATGCCCCCCAAGGACCCAAATTGGGCAATGAGTGTAGGCTACACCCCATTATCCGTTTCCCGGAACCAGTAGGTGCTGCCACCATAGCCGCTGTAATGTCACAGGGGCTTCGGTGATGCCTTTTCAGAGGACTGTGAGGACAGGGCTGTCAGCTGGGAACCAGGAAGGGTGTCTTGGCCTGAAACCAAGAACCAAAATGGAGTTGGCCATGAGTGTGCCTACCTTCCAGTACCTCTCTCTCCCATCCCTACTCCCTCACCCAGTTCTGCTTAGTCCCTCCCCACCCCTGGTCATCAGGGTATAAATGGGGAAGGAGGGGCCACCAGAGGCAGGGAAGGGAGGGACCTTTGGGATTATAAATTCCAAAAAGGCCACTCAACTCCCAGAGCTGGATCCCTGAAACTCTACTCTGTCAGCTGCTGCACTTGCTACCATCCCCGGGGACCCTCATCATGAAAGGCTTTCTGCTGCTCATCCTGTCTGCTCTGCTCTGCTGGGTCTCAGGTGAGCACTGGGGGACCCCCAGGGACTTCTGCACCTTCTCCCACCCACTGTGCTCCATTGCCCACTGCTTGGGATCTCAAATACCCTTAGCTCCAACCGGCGCAGCTCTCCTGTGACGGGGTCCTTGCTCCATTTCTCAAGGACCCATGTCTCCTTCACGCTTCTCCCCACCTCCAAGACTTACCCTTCTAACCTGCCAGAGCTCCAGGTCCCCTGTCCCCCACTCCACGACCAAACCCAGCTTACTGCTTTGTCCTCTCACCACCTGCACTCAGCAGAGTCCTCCCAGAAACCTACGCGTCCAGCCTGGGGCTTCTTGTACACCCCACCCTCCCCACCTCCTCCTCCAGATTCTGTTCTCAGTCATTCAAGCAATAGCCTTTCCTAGTTCACCCCTGCTCTTCCCCGGAGAGCATACTCACAGGGACACCAGCTTTCTGGAGGGTCCCAGTGATCTCCTAGAACCTCCTGGGAAACTGGGGAGATAGCCTGGTTCTAGGGAGGGGATGCCAGGGCTGCTCACCCCCATGGTGAAGTGGATTTATTTCACAGAGGTGCAGTCACTGGGCTCCTCTGCCCTTGGACTGAACCCTTCCTTCACCAAACTTTGCTCACGCAAGCCTAGAATCAGCTGAGGTGGGAGCCTGGAGGGTGACACTTTTTGCATCCACCCCCTCTCCATCATGGAATGGTGCTCAGACAGCACCTGACCATCTGCTTCTCAGATATTATTCTTTTCTGTCTGAATGCTGCTGGAGAGGATCCCTCAGGTCTGGTTCCTCTTCCCACCCTCATGGTGGTACCAGGTGGGGAGAGTAAATCGCTAAAGCTGGCCACAGGTGGTTTTGTTGCCAGCCTCAAGTCCCAAGCCACTGATACAAGTGTTGCAACCATGACTTTTATTTATTTATTTTTTAAGATTTTATTTATTTATCTGAGAGAGATCAAGCCGAGCACAAGCAGGGGAAGCTGCAGAGAGAAAGGGGGAAGCAGGCTCCCTGCTGAGCAGAGAGCCTGTGGGGCTGGATCCCTGAACCCTGAGATCATGACCTGAGCTGAAGGCAGACGCTTAACCAACTGAGCCACCCAGGCACCCCAAGAGCCATGATTTTTTATTTGTAGTATTTCTTCTCATTTCAAGTCTCCGTCTGTGACATCTTCTGAATTCCTTCACCTTTTCCCCCACCTCCTCCATTCCTTGCCCACGGTAGTCTCACATTCCATCTATCCCTGGCCCTGTGTTTTTGTTGGTAGCTCTGCCCCTCTTGACTCATCCCCGAATGGGGTGGGGTGCAGGACGATATTTAAGGTGTAGGCATTCACAGAGCAACAACTCCACCCTCACCCACTTCCACTATTTCTGTTTCATTCACCTGCTCGGTCACTGTCAAACCAAACAGGTCAGAACACTTACTTGACTGGCTCTTCTCCACCCTACCCCACAGCTCGGCTGGTCCCCAGGTGAGTCAGACACCCCATCCCCTCAGCCTGACTTGTGTCTTCCCAGCTGACATTCGCTGTCACTCCTGCTACAAGGTCCCCGTGCTGGGCTGTGTCGACCGGCAGTCCTGCCGCCTGGAACCAGGACAGCAGTGCCTGACAACAAATGTGTACCTCGGTAACACGCCCCTCTTTAGTAGGGACAGGGGGCTGGTGGGAGACTCTATGGCAAGGGCCAAGGCCCAAATGTGGCTCAGACTGCAATGGGACACACAGTCCCAGAAAGGACAATATTTGGCCAAGTATTCTTAAATGCCAGCACCATTCTATGACTTTACACGGATTGTGGGCAGCAACAAGTCCGAGGACCAAGACTGGGGTGAGGGGGTGGGGGACGGAAGTGCAGAAGGACAGTCAGACTTACTGAGAATAGATAAGGAGGGGAGGGGCAGGGGCAGAGTAGGGAAGGAAGCCTGGGCTGGTGCATGGGCGGGGGGACACAGGCATGCCAGGCACCCGTGCTGGCTGACCCCACGGTCCTCTCCTACCCTCAGGTAAGATGTGGGTTTTCTCCAACCTTCGATGTGGCACACCGGAAGAGCCTTGTCGGGAGACCTTCAACCAAACCAACCACAAGCTGGGCCTGACCTATAATACCACCTGTTGCAACAAGGACAACTGCAATAGCCCAGCTCCTCGGCCCACCCCAGCCCTGGCCCTCATCCTCCTCACCTCTGTGGCCGGCCTTGGCCTCTGGCTGCTGCACTGATACTCACTCCATAGCTGTCCCTCCTCCCACCTACCTTAGCCTGAGTTTAGCCTTAGGTCTCCTTGTCCCCCGGCTCCCTACACTGGTCTCTCCTTAACTCCCTTCACTCAGAATAGCATTTCTCCAGGCTCTTCACATTTCTGTAATTAGACAGCGGTCTCCCCACCCATCCTTCCACCTTACATCCTCCACTGACCTTCCCCCGAGTCCGTCCCTATATCCCTCTAGACCATCCCAGATCCTCCGGTGGTCCCAGAAGAGCTCCGCACTTTGCGTCCTGCACTCTACCACGCCCAGCTCAGAGAGGGATGGAGATCTGGGCCTGAAATGGGACTTCTGTCCTGTCCCCTGCAAAGGCTCCCAGGAAGGACCTGATGACCTCACTGTATGGGGTTGATTCCCCAAACCCTCGGTCCATACGTACCTCATCCCCATGCTTGCCTCTTTGCATTTTGAGTAATAAATGTCTATGTCTGATAAACTGTGTGTTTTTTTGTCAAAAAACCTGTCGTCAGAGGCCCCCCTCTTGGGAGATAACACTCTCAGCTCCTGCCCTTCCCCAAGAATCCTCCAGGGACTTTCCCTGGGAGGCTGGGCTGGGGCAAATGGAGAAACGGGTTTTTCAGGCCTCCATCCTTCTTCCTTCCTGTGTCTGGGGTTGACATACGCGTCCAGTGTTTGGAGCAACAATCCTTATCCCAAATTTAGGCCACACCTCTGATGTACTGCCAAGAAGGAGGTGCGGCCTGACTTGAGGGCTCCCCCTAAAGGGTAGGAGAGCTGCATGGGGATGGAACACAGGACCCTCTTAGCAGGTTAGAGTCAAGGGCCTCACTTGGCCCCATTACTAAGCAGGGCAGCAAGCAACCCTCCCATCACTGTGTTTCCATTTCCTTTCTCAATCCTATAGAGTCACATTGAGAACCAAGTTGCAAATGGGAGAAAGGGGAAGAAACCCAACCATGTTCTTTGGTTCCTGGTGACCCCCATTCAGCCCAGAGCCCACTCCCCCCGCTCAGTGGTCCTCACTGCTAATGAAGATTCTCCCTAGCAATAGGCCCCAGGGGTCACTTAGGGCAGATTCTCCATTGTCCTTTGGGGGTCCGTTGGTAAAGGAGTGCACTGTTGTAACTAAGTCCGCTGACACTTGGTAATTAGAACATGGATGGCCGCATAATACTCCTGCAATCCTCCCATCAGCGAGAGATAGATGGCATTTTCCAGTCAGCTCTAGAGTGGTGGAGAGATTTTAATGGCTCACAGAGGGTTGTTTGTCTTCTCACCTCAGCTCTCCTTTGTTCCCTTGCTCCCCTGCTCCTCCCGCCCCAGCCTACTAGTCTCTCCACAGTGCTGGCAAGAGCCAGGCCAGGGCGGCGGCTGCTGTAGCCAAGACACATGGCGGGGCCACGGTGCTTGCCACAGCGCTGTTACACAGGTCTCCGACGCAGCATTCCCTGTGGGTTGTGTAAGTCACGTCTCCCACCAACTCCGTTTCCACTTGATTGCAGTGATGGGCTGCCACACAGGCTCGATAGTGATGAATCAAGGTAACTGAGGCTGAGAGAAAAAACAAGACTGCGGTGTTGGACTCTTGGCTTGAGGACTTGCCTTCTAGGGTAGAGCGGATGTGACTTCCAGGAGCCCGGAGGGATTCTCTGTCCCCTCCAGAAAACACCTCCATGAAACCAAGTAACCAAAATGAACACTGACATTGCTAGCACTCTGATTCAAAGGTGCTGAAAAGGGCCGATCTCCCTTCGCTGTCCTGTTCTGGCCAAAAATCCATGACTACAATCTAATTATGAGAAAATAGTAAATAAATGTAAATTGAGGGATGGTCTCTAAAATAACTTATGGGGACTCTTGAAAAGTGTCAAGGTCATGGAAGACAAAGAAGCAGAACTGTCCCAGATCAGAGGAGACTTAAGACGTCGTGAGCACTAAATGCAAGGCGGGATCCTGGTTTGGACTGAAGCCAACATCTCTCTTGTCAGTTCAGGTGGAAAATGAACACTCCATGTCCTGTCACCCTCAGGCACAGCTGGACCGGTCAATGAACACACAAGCCTAGGCTCAAGGGACAGGAATGATGGCTTATCACTCAAAGAAACCTGCGGACAAGTAGTTAATCAGCACTATTCTAAAGACACAATCATTGGTTGGGCCTAATGAAATGTCTAACATGGAGAATAAAGAAATTTTTTAGATTCCAAGGTTGTTGAAATAGAAAAGACTTCTGGGGGACCAGACAAAGTGGCACCACAGCGCCTGCTAGCACGACCTCATGGGGGTTCAGTCAGCAGAGCCCACCTTCTCAGAAGACCCCTAGCCCCAATTTTGCCCTCAAAATCTCTCACTTGCCAGCTGTCAGGGGGAAGGGGTGGGGCTTTTGAGCATCAGCTCCCTATTCTCCTGGGTGACACCACACTAATAAATAGCCTACTTTTCTTCACTGCAGAAGCTCTGTGTCAGATTTTATTGGCTTGCTGTTGCAAGCGGTTGATGAACTCTCATTTGGTTTGGCTATAGGACCAGAAAAAAGACATGACTAGATCATCTGGCTACTCTGAATAAGGTCTGTAGATTAGTTGGTATTTTTTGAAAGAGTTATTTTTTTGAGAGTGAGCGAGCAGGGGGGAGGGGCAGAGGAAGAGGGAGAGAGAATCCTGAAGCAGACTCCCTGCTGAGCCAGGAGCTTAACTCAGGGCTTGATCTCAGAACCCTGAGATCATGACCTGAGCCGAAATCAAGAGTCAGAAGCTTAACCCACTCAGCCACCCAAGTGCCCCTAGTTAACAGTATCGTACCAGTGTTATTTTCTGATTGTGATCATTGTACTATGGTTATATTAGATATTAGCATTAGAGGAAGAGAGGTGAAGGACATACAGGAACTCTACTATTTTTGGAACTTTTCTGTCAATCAAAAATTATTTCAAAATCGTATACATGTGCGCGTGCACACACACACACACATACACACACACACCCCAGTCCTTAGCTAATACCTGCAAGTTTGGTTTAATATTTTGGTCCCTGCGTTCAAGGGACAGAACTTTTTCAACGACTTAGGAGTGAATGGGCCTCTGAGACTCTGGGGAGTTAAGAGGAGGAGGTGACAGGGACAGTGGGCTGCTGAGGGGCTCAGTGCCAGAGCCAGAAGGGGCTCCAGAGCTCTCTACTCTGCCATGGCACCATCTGCCTGGAGCCAGACTGAGCCTGGGAGCAGGGGAGGGCTGGGGGAAGGGGGAGAAGCTGAGGACTCACGGTTTCCAGACAGCTTGTTCTGCCCAGGGCCAGGCTGGGGCTTGTGTTCCAGGAAGCCACAGTGCTCCCCCTCCCCGCAGGTGGCCACCGTCTCTTTGCAGGAGTTGCTGGAATCTCCTTTGCACTCGAAGCACCGCATGCGGGTTCCTGGCAGAAGAGAAGAGGCGCTTGACCTGGGCTGACCGGGAGCCAGCTGGCAGAGGCGGACAGGGCTTGGCTGCCTCCTTACCCAGGGCAGACCCCAACAGGGTGCTGAGCAGGACCCCGACCAGTAGAGAGTTCATTGTGTCTGCCAGCAATGTCAGTATCACCTCTCTCCCACCCCCCTCCCTGGCCCTGATCCGCCAGCCTTATATCCCCCTTGCCTTGGGCTTTATAGGGCAATAAAAAGGGAGTAAAGAATCTCCTCCAGCAGGCACTGGGGCCCCACTAGCGACAGGGAGGCCCCCCGCCCCCCCCCAGCAGCAGAAAGAGCTCCTGGCGTCCTCTGGAGTCCCCAGATGGCTCCATCCTCAGCAGCGGTTCTCAGGCTGTGGCCCCAGAACTCCTGGCCAGAGGGTCCTCAATGGTCTTCCTTTCCCACTTGCATACCTACAGGAGGTTGGCTTTTCTCCACGTACTATCATCAAAACAACAGGTCGCAACTGCCTAAGGGCAGAAGCCATGTGACAACTGGGCCATCTTCTATTCAGTCTTTTATGTAATTCCCCAAAGTGGAGAGCAACCGTCCTTTTCTGTGTTGTTGGGAAAGAAGTTACTTTTCACAAAACTGTGTTTCGTTAACATGTGATAGATTTATTATTTTTATTTTTCGAATAAACCTACTTAAAATGCTCTGTGTTGATTTTGAATATAGTAAATACTATAGTAAATACCAATATTAACCCACACAGAGAAAAACTCTTTCAGGCCTTCAGTAATTTTTATGAGTATAAAGAGGTCCTGAGATTAAAAGAAAAAAAAAAAAAAAAAAGGATATCTGTCTCCTCTGCCCTCCTCCCTCCCCTTTCTTACTCCTGATACATCCCTGCTCTGATTCCCCAGATCAGGCTCTCCTCCCTCAAGGTCATAAACCTCAGTTTTCCAGAATCTACCATCACTTCCTGAATCTTTTCCCTGCATTCCTTCCCAGTCTTTCTGAAACAACTCCCCCCGCCCCCAGTGGAAACACATCTGTCCCTCTGGCCCCACCCATGATTAATTCCTTCCTCCACAGTAGTAAAACTGGGAGAGATAATTATAGGGTACAAATGTTGAGGCTTGGGGGGATCAAAGGGATGTGAAGCTGGGTGGGGTCCCACCTATGCAGCTGAGCTTTGTGTGGAGGGAAGGGTGGGAGAGGGCATTGTTGGTTCCACATACAGACACCACGCTGGAACAATTCTGGGCCAGGCCTTCTAGGAGGGTGACCTTGAGAGACTCCAAAGCACGGAGAGGGGAAGGATGGAGCAAACAAAGACAGGGAACTGAGCTGACAGAGCCGAGAACAGCTTGAGACAAGGGGAGGTGGGGAGGAATGAGGGGGAAGGTGACAGACAGAACTCTGGAGCGGCAGACACAGCTGAAAGCACAAAGCACAGCACAGAGAAGACCCCGAAGGCTCTAGCTGACTCGAGTAGGGGGCGGGGAGGATGTGAGAGGTGTGGGACATAGGAGTTGCGGGACCAGAGCCTCTACTGCGTCAGGCTGGTGAATCTGGTCCTGTTTCCACCCCGCCAGATTCACTCCCTAGGTGTGTTTGTTTACTGGTCCCTCCCTGTCTCGCTCAGATGCTCCAGCTCTAGGGATCTCTGGGTGCAGATCACATTCTCCCAGACTCCTGAGCCTTGGGTCCAGCCATGGGCCCCTCCAGCATCTTCCTGTGCATCCTGTTCCTCTGTGGGGCACTGGGTAAGGGGGGGCAGGTGGGAGAAGCGGGATGCTGAGCAGAGATTTGCATGGGCTTCAGAAAGAAGAGCTCCTGGGAATGGCCTCAGGCCAGGAGAAGGTGGAACCAGAAGTTTCTTTTCCAAGGCATTTGAGAATGAATAACTCTCTCTTCCTTGCAGCATCTTGACATGCCTCTGTCCTTTGTCTCCCCTGTTCCTTATCTCACCTCTTGCTTCTTTGCGGGGACCTTGCGGTCAGTGTCAATTCTTATTTGCTCTCTGTCTGGGGCACCATCTGCTTAACTTTTTCACTGCCACCCTGCCTTCCTGGGTCTGGCTTTTGGTGTCACTCTCTGCCTTCGCCTCTGACTCTCTCGGCTTCTGTCATATCTGTGTGTTTCTCACAACCTCTGGATCCCTCTTGCCTCTGTGATTTTTCTTTTCCTGAGTTGTCTCCCCTCCCTTCCCTGTGTCTCTTCCGCGACTTCTGTCTGCCCTTCTCCTTCCCTTTCCCCACTTCCCTCTCCCCACTTTCTGTGTCACCTCTCTGCGTGAATCTCTCTCCTTTATCTGGGCTCCAGCCTCTCACAGGCCTCTTTGTCTCTCCTGTTCTCCGCCGCCGACAACCCCCAACCCCCGCAGGTCTCACCACGCCCCCGCCCCCTGCCCGAGGTCGGCTCCGCTGTTACACCTGCAGCTTTGCCAAACCCTGCTACCCGGTTCCCACCGAGTGTCAGGACGACGAAGCTTGTGGCATCAGTATTGGCACCTCAGGTAGGACTCTGGCCCAATGGCCCTTCTCTAGGCCAGTCTCCATCCACCCATCTTGCTTTTCCTGCTGCCCCACTGCCCTTACCTCCTTCCTGCCTGGACCTCAGCATTCTCTCATTCTGTCCCACAGAGCAGAATGAGATCATCGAGCGGAAGGGCTGCCTCCCACGGGCCCAGTGCCCTCTGCAGGGCCATGCCACCTACTGGTCGCGCTCCTACGCTCTGCGGCACCACTGCTGTGAGCAGGACCTGTGCAACACAGCCATCAGGCTGCAGCCGCTCCCCAGCCCCCTACTTGCCGCCCTGCTCCTCCTTGCAGCCAGCTTCACCTGGGGAGGTCCCCTCCTCCGCTGGCTTCAAGCCAATCTGCAGCCTTCAACCCAGGACCCTGCCCCGCTCCTCACCGCCCTGGAGACCCCTGCATCTGAGATATGCCCAAGAACCTGATTCTGTAGAGAACTCCGATTCCCACCCTCACACCTTCCCAGACCCCTCCCAAGGTCTGGTTCCTGCGGACACCACTCTAGCCTGGATAGGCACCTGTCCAGAGCCCTGCCTCATAAACAATACCTGTTCTAGGTTTTTGTCTTTTCTAGATGCCCACGGCTGATGCCCTATCTCAGCTCCAGGTCTTGGTCAAGGCAGGCGGTTTGTTGAAGCTGGGGGTCCCAGGCAAGGGGACTGAAGGGTCATCAGGAATGGTGAGGAGGACAGTCTTGCTAGGAAAGATTAATTTGGCAGTTCAGGAACTCAGGAAGGAGGTTCTTGGGGGAACTGTAAAGAGTAAATTTAATAAAAGTGCTATCTGGGAGTCTAGGACACTGCCGTGTCTGTGTGTGTGTATGTGTGTGTGTGTGTGTGTGTGTGTTCTCTTTCTCTCCCTCTCCCTCCCTCCCTCTCTCTCTCTCTTTAAAAGCAAACTAGAGCTGCCTGGTGGGTTGGGCTGGGCTGCTGGGACCTGAACTGTAACTTTCACCTCATTCTCCCTCTGTGTCATTTGCCTCCTCCTTCTTGCTAACAGCTTAGCTTGAGCCCCTACAGCATGGAGGATTTCAGTGACACTTCTGAGAAAGATTTCCTCCAGTGAGGCCCAAATTTGAGCAGACACACAAAAGGGTGTCTGGTAGAGTTGCTTGTGATGGTGTGTCGGGGAGACTGGCTCCTTTCTGCCTGAGACCGGGAACAGACCAGTTAGGAGCATCGGTGCCCTTCCCCGCTCCACCAGCCCAGGCTTGTCCATGGCTCAAAGATAGCCCAGCACACACCCCACTAGGGAATCCACCCACCGCCCCTGTGGACACTCCCTCTACCCCCAGAAATAGCATGTGACTCTAGGGCCTCCCAGGGTGTCAGGATGTTGATAAGCCTCTCACTGCTGGGCTCCGGATGCCACAGGAAGTGCTAGGATAAGGAGGGTGGCTGGGAGTGCAACCCCCCCCCCCCAACCCCATCCTGACTCAGTGCCCTCCCTGTCCATGTGAGGAAGTCTGAGGTCTGATTAAAGGTGCGTGTTCTCCTTCCACTTCTCTGTGAGAATGAGACGGAGCAGGGATGAGGGGATGGGGGTGGGGGATGGTCGGGCTTAATTTCAGGGCAACTCAGTCTTCTTCCAATTCTCTGTCATTCAGTCCTCCTACCTAGTGCTTCTGTTATCTTCTCTCCCTGCCTGTCTCTTTCCTCTAACTTGAGTCCCTTCCCTTCCCTCTTCTTTAGTTGCCTCCATTTGTCCAGTGGTTTCCCTGAGACTGACTCTCCAAAATTGCTCAAATCTCTGGATTCTCCCATCTCATCTCTGCCCATACCCACCCCTCCTCACCCCCTGGCAGCCACCCTGGGCTCCCCTCAGTCCCATGGTACTGAGGGCTCAGGACCACCCCTTTACTGGCTGCTATGAAACAGGAGATCACACCTGTGATCTCAACAGGTGACATCGCAGAATAATACTTTGCTTTCCTTCAGCGCCCCTGAACATACACACACACACACACACACACAGCGTGACTGCTGGAGACCAGCTGGACTGTAGGGCAGCACTCGCAGCCCTTCCCCCCCCTTGCCAAGGTTTTCAGGAGAAGCCTCAGGTGCCAGATGGCCAGAGGGACAGCAGGTCACACTTCCAGCAGATGTCATGGAGATCATCTGATCTTGGGGGCAGGTGGGCTGTGGGTTTTGTGAAGCAGAAAGACAGATTAAAGATACTTTCATTCTCTACCTCCTCAGGAACAGGGGCCCCCATACCCACCCCAACCCCAGTCTCCTCTGGGATTTAAGCCTGCACCCCGGAGTGTTACCTCACCTGAGACAGGCCAAATGGATGTTCTCATAGACCTGGATTTCAGGTTTGAACTGAGGAATTGAGGTACCTGGGAAGAAGGAGCCACACGGGGTGCAGCAGAGAAATCACCAGATAACTCAGAACTATATTCCTTACTACCTCCTCCCCTAGAGAAGGTAGGGTATAGAGGCAAGATGTGAGCCCAACCCTCTGCCATCCACCCACTCACACCATGCTCTCTTCTTTCCCCCTGGGAGGGAGGGACTCACCTCTGCACTGAGCCCCCTGGGCCCTCTGTCTGCAGAGCATGATGCTGACGGCTAGGATGGTGAACCCCTGACCCACTGTGAGCAAGAGCATCACGATCCAGGACACGTCCCAGCCCGTGGAAGGGGCACAGAGGGCAGGGGAGGCATCCGTGGAGGCTACAGTAAGGGCAAGACAACAGGGATAAGGAGGGAGGCAAAGAGGGGTTTGTTCCCATGCCCCAGAGAGAGGCTTTCCCCCTGTAGTCCAGCAGGCTCTTACCACCAAAAGACTTCATAAGCTTCTTTGTCCCTAGTTTCTACCATCCCACTTTGCCCATTTTCAAGCCTCTCATGTTGACCCCATCAACCTCTGTTGGTAGCAAATATCAACATACCTGTACCCACCTATGGACAGCTAACTCCAGAACAGACCATCAGCCATAACTGCAATTCTTCCTCATATCCTTAATAGTAATCCAAACTTTCAGGAAAAAGTAGTGCCTTCCAATTCATTCTTTCTTTCACTCATTTAGTCCATAAGCATTCCCTGAGTGCCCACCAAATGCCAGGCACCGTATTAGGTGCTGAGGATGTAGAGGGAAGTAAGACCCATTAATTGGCCTTTGCTTACCAAAATAATGTCCATTTGCTCCTCCCTACTGCCTCATAAATGGGTCATTCTACATTCAGTAGCATTCTTTCTGTGGGTAATGGACTTCTAATTGTTAAAACAATTACATATATTTTTCCCCTTCTATTTTCACTCACAGCAGTCCATTATAACATTAGCACATGTATCTTTACTTCAAAAGACAATTCCCCCATCAATAATTCTTTTCTTCATGTCTGCTATGAGATATTCCATAAAAGTCATAGATCACCCTATTTGTAATTAATGGTGTATTCCACCAGAATCCTTCTCATCCCTTTTGGCCAATGGTCTCTTCCATCAGAGAGTTGGCTTAAACAACCCCCTTCTCTATTAGGGAATTATCAATGAGAAAAAAGGCCCTCTTCCTACAGGTGATGGTCTGCTCCACCAGAAATCACCCCCACCCACCCAAATCTGGCCAATTACAAAGTCATGTCCACCTCCCCTAGCCAGCAGGTGCAGAATGTGCCAGAGGCAATATCCTCTCCCAAATCCTCCCTCAGTTTACCTGTCAGGCTAAAGCTGACCCCTTTGTTGTGAGGCATGAGGCAGCGGATGATTCGTGGTCTATGTTCCCCCGACTCAGAGAGCCCCTCCCCAGGACACACCAAGAGCAGGGCAGCCCCATCACCCCAAAATGACTGTACACGGCCCCTCACAGGACCCTTTCCCTCTAGCCAGGTCACAGAGTCTAGGTGTCTGGCAGGGGCCACAGAGCACACGAGGACAGAGCAGGGGGATCCGTCGGCAGCCCTCGCAGATAGCTGGGATCCTGTGGGGAGAGAGGGACCTTAGTTCTCTGCTGGGCTTCCTGACCCCCAGTGGCCCCCAATTTACACGCCTTCACTCACCTCTGAGCACGGAGACATCATACATCCTCCAGTTCTGGTACCTGTGGTGCTGACCCAGCACAGCACACCAGTACCGACCAGCATCTCCCTCCTTGGACCCTTCCAGCCACAGTGAGAAGTTCCCCAGTAGTTTGAGCCTGGATGCCCTGGTGGGCCTCCCAAGGTCTGGGGCTGGCCTGACCACTTGGACTTGGGCCACCAGGGCAGTGGAGGAACCTGCTGCTGGGCTGTGGAACCAGGATAGGAGTTCGTCTCCACTCAGGGTGGGCGGTAAAGGACATGGCAGCTCCAACGCCTCCCCCGAGGCTACATAGATGGTCTGGATGTTGTCTGTGGGGAGGAGATGGTATGAGACTAGAAACCGCCATCAGATCAACAGCTCCCACTCGACCTCCAACCCCCAGCTTCTGCCCCTCCTGGGGACTCCCCCAGCATGGGTCTGGCTATGAGCACTTTCTCAAGTGACAGCTACGAAAAAGTGAGGAGGGGAGGAGAAGGTAGGGCCTTCCTCCCCTCTCTTCCAGTGGATGAAGGAATCTGAAGACAAGAGAAAAAAGGCTAGAATAGTTGGCAAAGACCCTTTCTCTTCCTCTCCTTTCTCCTTTTCTGGACGCATTTTCTCATCTATTCTTATTTTCTAAAGGAAACTGTACATAACAACAACAACAATAAAAAGACAACAAAACAAAAGCCCCAAAATTAAAAAACTAAACATTAGGGACACCTCAGTGGCTCAGTCAGTTAAGCGTTTGCCTTAGGCTCACGTCATGATCTCAGGGTCCTGGGATCCAGCCTGCATCAGGCTCCCTGCTCAGTGGGGAGCCTCCTTCTCCCTCTGCCTGCTGTTCCCCCTGCTTGTGCTCACTCGCACTCTCTCTCTCTCTCTGATAAATTAATAATTTTCAAAAGATTAAACATTAAAAAAAGGAAGAAACTGTACATAACCTGGGCCCTCATTGTCTCTGGGTCTTCCCCAGAATTAGAGGAAGGGGGGAATCAGTTGGGGTAAATCTATCTCCTTGAGTCAAATGCCTTCCCCAGGCCTCTGAGGAGAAACAGCAGTAGTTCCTTACAACCTTCCGAATAACCAAAGAATCCCCCACTTCCTCCTCCTTACCTGCAGCAGCCCATGGGGCTCCACATAGGAACAGAAGGAGGAGGAATAAGACCGCCATGGGGACAGGCTGCCAAGTTCTCTTGCCCAGGACCTGGTGTCCTGTAGAGGAAACAAAACCCAGATACAGTCCCACACTCCCTGGTCTAGAGTGACATGGGCCTCTGAGGGGATGGGAATGCAGGGGAGATAAAGCCCAGCTTCATGTTTACTGGGGAAAAAGTGACCACCACCTTTCAGTTCTGAGGAGGAAAAGACCCGTCCAGGGTGTTCTGAAGAGGATCTCCTCACACTTCGGACTCCACATCAGCTGAAAGAGACAGATCAAAGACTGTGCTAAAAGACCTCTGCAGAAGGGGGCACAGCTGTCTACCTTCATTCAGTCTGGAAGTACATTCTGTGCTCTTTCCTCCACCCTAGGAGAGATGCCAACCATGAGCGAAGAACCTGAGTCTTCATGTTGGTTTCCACAAAACCGGGCATAAGACTGCATACCTAGTCAATACTCCATAAATAAATAAAGTCATCTGGAATGACTTTCCCTGCGGCTCCCTGGCATATCATTGACCTCTTCTGAGCTCCTGATGAGTGTATTAAGTTACTACTGAAGGAACAGGATAACAGGGGCCCGGAGAATTCACCAAATCCCTTTACCCCGGGCAGGATTCTCAAAGCAGAGCTTCATATAGCTTTAATAGTTTTTAATGTGTTATTTATTTTTATTTTTTTAAAAGATTTTATTTATTTGACAGCGAGAGATCACAAGTAGGCAGAAGCAGGCAGAGAGAGAGGAAGGGAAGCAGGCTCTCTGCTGAGCAGAGAGCCCGATGCGGGGCTCAGATCCCAGGACCCTGGGATCATGACCTGAGCCGAAAGCAGAGGCTTTAACCCACTGAGCCACTCAGGCACCCCAAATGTGTTATTTATTTTTAAAAGTTAATATTTTAAAAAAATTTATGGTTGATCTATTTTTAAGTTTCTATTTATTTTTTTTTTAAATTTATTGATTGGAGAGAGAGTGCGGGAACGTGAGGGGGGTGTACCACAGAAGGAGAGGGAGCAGCAGACTCCCCACATGAGCTCTGCCCAATGCAGAGCTCAATCCCAGGCCCCCCAGGGGATCCTGACTAGGATCATGACCTGAGCCAAAAGGCAGACACTTAACTGATTGAGCCACCCAGGAGACCCTTTAAGTTTTTATTTTAATTCCAGTTAGTTAACATACAGTGTTTTATTACTTTCAGGTGTACAATATAATGCTTCAACACTTCTAAACATCACCTGGTGCTCATGACAAGTGCCCTCCTTCATTCCCATCACCTTTTTCACCCATCCCCCACTCCCCCAACCATCAGTTTGTTCTCTATAATTAAGAATCTGTTTCTTTCTCTCTTTTTTCCCTTTGCTTGTTTGTTTTGCTTCTTAAATTCCACATATGGGGATGCCTGGGTGGCTCAGTCAGTTAAGCATCTGCCTTTAGCTCAGGTCATGATTTCGGGGTCCTGGGATGGAGCCCCACATTGGGCTCCCTGGTCAGCAGGGAGCCTGCTTGTCCTTCTCCCTCTGCCGCTCCCCCAGCGTGTGCTCTCTTGTGCATGCTCTCTCTGTGTTAAATAAATAAATAAAATCTTTTAAAAATTCCACATATGACTGAAATCATATGGTATTTGTCTTTCTCTGGCTGACTTATCTTGCTTAACATTATACTCTCTAGCTCCATCCATATCATTGCAAATGGCAAGACTTCATTCTTTTTTATGGCTGCATAATATTTTATAGAGATATGTGTGCGAGTGTGTGTGTGTATACACACATGTATCTCACATCTTCTTTCTCCATTCATCAATCAATGGACACATGGGCTGTTTCCATATATTGACTATTGTAAATAATGCTGCTATAAACATAAGGATGCCTGTATCTCTTTGAATTGGGTGTTGTTGTTGTTGTTGTTTTAAAATATTTTATTTATTTATTTGACAGACAGATCATAAGTAGGCAGAGAGCAAAGAAGGGAAGCAGGCTCCCTGCTGAAGACAGCCTGATGCGGGGCTCCATCCCAGGACCCTGGGACCATGACCCGAGCCGAAGGCAGAGGCTTTAACTCACTGAGCCACCCAGGTGTCCCTGAATTGGGTGTTTTTTTAACTCTAAAATCCTTTTCCTTTTTTTTTTTTTTAAATATTTTATTTATTTGAGAGAAAGAGAGCACAAGCGGGTGGGGATGGATGGATAGGGACAGTGGGAGAGGGAGAAGCAGGCTCCCCACTGAAAGCCCAACTTGACCTGAGCTGAAAGCAGATGCTTAATCAACTGAGCCACCTAGGTGCCCCCTTAAAATTGTTTCTGATTAAATATTCTATTCATACCAAAGACTATATCAAACGTAACAAGGGGCGCCTGGGTGGCTCAGTGGGTTAAGCCTCTGCCTTTGGCTCAGGTCATGATCTCCACCCTGAGATCGAGCCCGCATCCGGCTCTCTGCTCAGCAGGGAGCCTGCTTCCCCTTCTCTCTCTCTGCCTCTCTGCCTAGTTGTGATCTCTCTCTGTCAAATAAATAAATAAAATCTTAAGAAAAAAGTAACATAATAAGTAAAAGAAGCAAGAAACAAAGGGCATGATTTGTATGATTCCATTTCTGTAAAATACGAAATTAGGCAAAACTAATCTATGAGTTTAGAAATAAAGATAGTGGTTACCCTTGGTGGGGCAGGTAGTGATTTGAGGAAGATCTTGTAGATGTGGTATAATGTATTCTTGATCTGGAGGCTGAGTGAGTATATGGAATATTGAAATGGCGCACTTTTCTGTATAGGTGTTTACTGCAATAAAAAGCTAAAGAATGTATATTTTATGTGGGTGTAAGGTACAAGGAAAAAGAAAACAAACCTGAATCTCTAATAAGAAACAGTATTACTATTTCAAAGGTTCTCTACGCTGTGTTACACTATTCTTTTTTTTTTTTTTTAAGATTTTATTTATTTGAGAGAGAGAGAGCATGAGCACAGGCAGACAGAGTGGTAGGCAGAGGCAGAGGGAGAAGCAAGCTCCCCGCTGAGCAAGGAGCCCGATGTGGGACTCGATCCCCGGACGCTGGGATCATGACCTGAGCTGAAGGCAGCCACTTAACCAACTGATCATAAGTAAATTTGCTCTTTGTCTTTCACTCTCTTGATTATTAAATTTTCTTTTTGGACGTTATATGTCCAAATGGTGTCAGGTTGTATGTGATCTATGGCTTTCTTTTTTCCCCTCAACATTACGGTTTTGAGGTTTTGAGATTCGTCCACGCTTGAGAGCGATAATTCATCTTTCCTTTCTTTTTTTTTTTTTTTTTACCGTATTTCACACCCCTTAACAATACTGAATCCTCCTATCCATGACTGCGATGCAGCTCTCCGTTTATTCAAGCCTTTGTTTAGCTCTTTCAAAAACATTCGTAATTCTCTTCATGAAATCTTGCATTTCTTTGATTAGATGTATTCCTAAACACCGTTTCTTTTTTGTTGCTCTTGCCAAGTGCTCCTAATCATTACCCTTCATTCCCACTGTCGCTCGAGAGTCTGCCAATATTAAGGAATTTTTTTAAAAAGGCGGGGGGGAACTTAACTACGCCTGATACGTTCTAACTCTCCGCGTTCCAAATGCCTCCAACTAATTTCTGACCATTGCTCTACCCGTAGGTCCATCTGCACGAAAACCGTCCCAAGGAGCGCGGAAAATGTCTCCCCAGGGCTCGAGGCGGAGCCGGTACGTGCTGACGTCAAGGGCACGCAATACCTTAGAGGCCGGGAAAGGGCGGGGCCAGCAAGGGGACCTGCTGCTGGGAGAGCAGCGGCCGGAGCGGGGGCCATGGCGAAGCTGCTGAGCTGCGTCCTAGGCCCCCGGCTCTACAAAATCTACCGGGAAAGGGACTCAGAAAGGGCCCCGTCCAGCGTCCCCGAGACTCCAACTTCAGTCACTAGCCCCCCTTCCAGCTCCTGGGTGAGTCGAGTTCTCCCCTGGTCAAAAACATGGTACGGCCCAAACCCCTTTGCGGCCTTTGCTCCCCAGCAGCGCCCATTATTGGAAATCGGGGGAGCCTCCTTGTCAAGCCAGTTGTCTGCAAAGTGCTCTTTGTGCTTCCTGGGTTAAAGTCACGCCTGCGGACCGGCTGCCTCCTTTATCGCCGTTTGCCACCGCTTTCTCATTCTGACTGCCATTCCTTGCTTTTTCCTCTCGCGGCCCCCCACCCTGTCTTTCGTGGTTCGTGCTGGTCCCAGTTGACTCTAAGTCCTGGAAGAGACCCTGCGCGGATTCGAGAGCTGGATGATTTTGCCGTCAGACTCTCTATTTCTTCTGCCTCGGTGCCCTTCCCAGTTCTGTTTTATCTTCCTTCCACCCTGGCCTTGAATTTCAAGATGATTTCTACATACGTATCCGCTGCCCCCCCACTCAACCGCCCACCCTATCTTGGAGGCCCTAGGGTCATCGCATCCGTGAAAGCTGGGGGTGGTGGTAGACTGTGCCCCTACATGTTCTTTACCTTTTCATTGGTAGTCTCAGACTCTGTTTATTGCCCTCCACAGCTGCCCGCCCTCAGCCACATTCTCTTCCTTAATCACCCCACTGTTACTTCTGATCTTCTTTCCCTCTTCAAGTTGTCACAGTGTCTCTCCTTTCTTCTCTAACTCCTGTCCCCATATGCACATGCCCACAACCCATTTGAAACTGGGTTGTGGAAAAGGATCACGAAATGTCCAGTGAGGCTGTCACTTTTGCTCGAAAGTCCAGGCCCCTATGTTCTCATGGTCTGAGGTAGGAAATCGGGTTTAGAGTGGGGGTTGGGAAGAGCGGCTTCTTTGGGAGCCAGGGATGTCCCAGGAGGGATAACTTTGGAGGCTAGAACCGGGGGACACACGTCTGGGCTCTCAAAGGGAGGAGGAAGGACTTGTCAATGGACATGGTCCTTGACTCGGCTGTCTGTTTTGGCAGGATACGTACTACCAACCCCGTGCCCTGGAGAAGCATGCTGACAGCATTCTGGCACTGGTATGTCTGTCTGCCCTGACGTCTGGAACT